TTTTGTGGTCGGGGTGAGCTGAGGGGTTCCAGGCTCTTTCTGGGCTCTTCAGCAGCCCCACGGGGTGATGCATCTCAGCACAACATCTTTGTCACTTGGGAAGCTGCTGGAGAGGAGGGAGGATGTCAGGAAGATTCCATGTGTTCTCTGCAGCTGCAGGGACAGGGACGGGGACAGGGACGGGGACAGGGGCAGGGGAGGATGTGCTGATGACCCTTGGAGATGCGGGAGAGATGCACGAGATTCCAGGGAACCGAGTGGCACACGGAGCGAGCCCTGGGGGCATCTCCTTTGTCCCCCCGTGCAAGCGCTGGACGCTCCACAGGCTCCTGTCCAGCTTCTCCCTTCCAGCGTGCTGGAAAAACCTTTTTTACCGCAGGCTGTGTCCTTGCTTTGCTCGCCGCTGGGACACCGGGAAGGGCGCGGGTCCCAGCGCCGCTGTCACCCTCCGGTTCCCCAGAGCAGCTCTGGCACAGCCTCTCCCTCCTGGAGCAAGAGCCACTCGTGCTGCAAACGCGTCACAGTCGGCGCTGACGTTACAGCTCAGAGCAGGGCTGGGGGCGTCTCCCCCATATTCCCTCCCTCCCCCCATCCAAGGACAATCCTTCGCCAAAAGGCAGCCAAGAGCCCCGGCTGGGATGAAGTTTGGGTGTTTGGGGCGTTTTGGGGACCTGTGGTTGTGTGACGTCCTCTCCCCCTCCCCTTCTGGAGCTGCCACCTGTTTGGTGTCTGCCCAGCAGAGCCCAGCTCGTCCCTCACTCCCGGCTGTGTCACTGCCCTGTTGGTGACACGGAAATGGCTCCAGCGTTTAAAGGCGCCTGCCTGCCTGCCTGCCGGGATCGGGATCGGGATCGGGATCATGGCAGGGCGAGCTGAGTCCTCCAGGGCCCCGCTGCTCCTCCTGAGCAGGGAGAGGAACCGAGGCAGGGAGTGGGGATGGACCAGATTGCGGTGGAAGGGTCTCTGAGGGAGCGGGTTGTGAATTTGGGCTCCTCCGAGCACAGGCAGGGCTTGGAAAGCAAAGGCAGCAGCTTGCAGGGGGCAGATGGACCGGAGGCAGAACAGAGCCAAACCACCTGAGGCTCGTGGATGCCCAGAGCTTCCCAGAGCTCCGTTTGGATTCCTCGGGCTGCATCCCTGGAGGAGGAGGAGCCTCCCGCCGGGAGGAACCGGAGGTGGGCACCCAAGATCGGGCGGCTCCACCTTGTACAGGCATCGCTGTCCCGAGTGGGACCATCCCCGGCGAGTCCCGGGGAGGGAAACTGGGAGCCAAGGGCTGGGGGGGGGTCCCTGGGTACCCAAATCTCTGTAATTATAGATCCACGTCCATGCAGCAGCTCCCCTCAGGACACAGCGCTTTGGGAAGGATGTGGCCCTGCAATGTGATCCCGGATCCCTCATCCTGCCTTAATTCTCTCTGTACTTCGGGGGTTTCTTCTTCCCTCTCCATTAATCTCTGAATATTAGGTGGAAAGCGAACAATTACCACACTAATGGCTCCATAAATTCCTTCATTATTTATTAAACTCGAGCGCTCCCCGCGCAGCGGAGGGAAAGAGGAGAAACGGAGAAGAAACGGGAGCGGAGGGGGATGAGGAGCCGGGTCAGAGGGGCTCGGGCTGGGCTGCGGCAGCGGGGAATTCACGGGCTGCCGTTGCCCTCTGCCGGTAACGGGACGGAGAGGGGCTGCTCTTCCTTGTCCTACTCTTCCCTGCTCTTCCCTGCCCGCTGGCACAGCCCCGGGGTCCCCAGGGACACGAGGCTGGGGAGCCCCGGCGTGTCTGGGGCTGCTGGTGGCGAGGATGCTCCGCCACGATGCGACCACCCCGCTCGGGGACCCAAAGCTGTCCCCAAAGCTGCCCCCAAAGCTGTCCCCAGAGCTGTCCCCAAAGCTGTCCCCAAAGCCCTCAGGGACGACGCCGAGCAGCGCTGCACATGGATAACATAAGCCCGGTTTTAGGAGAGGTTAATTCCGGTAGAGGCACGGGGAAGGGGGAGGAATGTTGAAGTCCCCACCCCGCGCAGCCGGACACGGGATGGAGGGAAATCCCCTCTCTGCCGCCTTTCCTCGAGGTGCCGGCAGCCGTTTGCTGCCAAACCTCCCCGGCATCCCGCAGGGCTGGGGGCACGTTCTCCCGCTTATTTCCCGCTGGCCCAGGCGAGGTGTGACCTGCAGGGATCAGCGGGGATCAGGAGCCGCCGTGCCGGGGGAAGCTTCACCCCCTCTCCGGGTCGGAGAGCGCGGCGAGCTCCGCTCCCGGGAGGGCCCTTGTGGCCTCGCCTAAGTGGAGCTAATGGATTTCCGTGTCTCCAGCAGCCAGCTGGGATCTGAGCGCGTCTCCTGGAAGGAAGGCAGCTCTTCTGAAGGCAGAACTGCCAACAAGCAGATGCCTCCCCAGCCGAGGTGCTCACCGGCCCGCCTGGATCAGCAGGATCGGGGCGGGAGCTCTGGGTCCTGCCAGGAGCCCTTTGCTCCTCCACCATCCACTCCAGCCAGGTTTGGGAAGTAAAATGCACAGTTAAACCCCAAGAAAATCTGGGGTTTTGGGGTTTTTTTTGCAGGCAACCAGCAAATATCTGTAGTTCTGCCACACCCCGGTACCCTCTGGGATGAGCCCAGCTCCTCAGAGGGACGTGCCTGCCCAACTGCCATGGACACCAGATGTAATTAGATGTTTAGATCTAGGCCAGGGGCTCCAGGGCCATCTGGCACCTGAATTATTCATTCACTTATATCTAAGCACAGGCAGAGAGCAGAGCACAGCTCCTTATCCAGCCTGGGCCCAGGGGGACATTCCTGCTGGAGCCGGATGGTTTTTGATGGCCTGACAGAGCCTGATCCTTTCCAGAGCTCCTTCCCAGCGCTTGTGATGCCTTTTCCCAGCGCCAAACCCGCTCCAAACCACACCAGAGACACTGCACAGAGATCCACATCGGCAGCAGCTGCTGCAGAGGTGGAAAAATCCCCAAGGAGAAGAGTCTCCCCTCGGAAGGAGAGGGCCAGGAGGCCCGAAATCAGATTAAATGTCTGTCAGGAGGGTGATGTGGCCCAGTGCTCCTCCAAGGTGTCTTTCACTCCATGACTCATCAGCTGAGGAATTTTAATCCCTTTCTCTCCCCAGCCCAGGCACCCGAAGAGAGGACCTTGGTGATGGATTTCTTCCCCAGCCAGGGAAGCTGTGCTAGGTTTTACCAGATGTAACCTCAGGAATGAGGCTGAAATATGGCAAAATATGGCAAACTCCCCAGTTTTCCCTCACCTGTTTGAGGATTAATTCCTCAGGTCCCTCTGGGCGACCTGGGAGAGTGGAAGGTGTCCCTGCCCATGGCAGGGGTTGGTGTTGGAGAAGCTTTAAGGTCCCTTCCAACCCAAACCAGCCTGGAATTCTGGGGTTCCTCAGGGAGCTGGGGAAGGGGCTGGAGCAGCAGGAGCAGCTGATGGAGCTGGGGGGGCTCAGCCTGGAGAGAAGGAGGCTCAGGGGGGACCTTCTGGCTCTCTGCAGCTCCCTTCTACAACTCCCACAGGCAGAGCAGAGAGGGGGAAAGAGGAGGAAGAGCCCCAGGGCAACATAAGGCAGTGGGAACCTCACAAAATATAGAGATTAGAGCGGGATGGGGAATCCTCACAAAACACAGGGATTAGAGCAGGATCCTCACAGGGCACAGGGATTAGAAAGGATCGGGATCATCATAGGACACAGGGAGTAGAGCGGGACCGGGATCCCCACAAAACACAGGGATTAGAGCCGTTCCTGCCCCATGGGAACGGGTTTTCCCTAATCCAGAGGCTGCAGCGGCTCCGAACCTTCCCCTCAGGCCCAACCCAGAACTCTTCCCCTCCCCAGGCCGCTGAGCCGAGCTCCAGCTCCTCGAGTAAAGACGGAATAAATCGGCATAACACCGTTTTTCTGCAGCTTTAAGCAGGCGATATTAGCAAAAGTTTGGAGGCTTCGATGCAGAACAGGGCCCTGCAGCTCCTCAGGGTCCCACAGCGGGCAGGGCAAGCCCAGAGCCCTGCGGGGCTCCCACAGCCGCGCCGGGAGCGCTTCGCTGTATTCCCCGGGGCGGATGCGAACCAAGAAACATGGAGAGAACGGGAGAGGCACTCAGTGTAGCCGAGCTCCCCCCTTTCCCACTCCGGCGGGTTTGCTGGGGGGGGGAAGGGGGGGCTGAGGGGACTCACGGGGTGTTTAAAACACCCGATCCGCTCCCTCCGCCGCCCGGCGCGCTCTGAGCCCTCGGCAGCGGCCGCGCCGAGAGCCCCGCTGGGGAACCGCCCCCCTCCCCGCCATCGCCAATCAGAGCCGGCGCTACCGTGACTGATGTTCGCTGTAGCCAATCAGCGCGCTCCGCGGCCTCACCTAACGGGTCGCTGGGGAGATTTTCCCGCCCAATGGGGGCCCGAGGGCGGAGTCGCGCGGAAGCGCGCGCTTCGCCGTGAGTGGCGCGAGGCTCAGCCAATCAGAGAGCTCAGCGGAGGCGAGCAGTGACCAATGAGGGAAGGGGGCGGGGAAAGAGCTACTCGCGAGAATTCCAGAGGGACGCTGGGAACCCGCGTCCGAGCGAGGGGGCCAATGGGGAAGGGCGGGGCGGGGCAGTAATAGTTGGCAGGTAAGGCAGCCAATCGGACGGCGGGCATAAGTTCCTCCCTGCGGCCAACGAGAGGCGGAAAATCTTCCCGTGGTTGAACTGCCGCGATTGACAGGCGGGACCGCCCAATCAGAACGCCGCGCCCTTTCTAACTGACCAATGAGCGGGCCGCGGTTCTCCCCGCCCCTCTCCGGGGGCCAGCGGGCGGAGTGACAGCGCGGCGAGCCAATGGGAGCGCGCACCGCCAGGCGGTGGGCGGTACCCCCCCGCACGGGCGGCCAATGGGCGCGGGCACCGCCCCGGGCAGCCAATGGGTGCCGGGGCGGGGGGGGGGCGGCGCGCGCTGCCGGCGCGGCTCCCAAGATGGCGGCGGGTGCGTGAGCGGGGCGGGCGGGGAGGGCCCGGCGGGAGCGCGGCCGCCGCCGCCATGAAGGGCAAGGAGCGCTCGCCCGCCAAGGCCAAGCGCTCCCGGGGTGGCGAGGACTCGGCGTCCTCCTCCTCCTCCTCCCGCGGCTCCAAGAAGCCCAGCGGCTCCTCCGGCAGCGGCGGCGGCGGCGGCTCCAACGGCGGGAAAGCGGCGGCGTCCGGGGAGAGCAACAGCGGGAGCGGCCGGCGCGGCGCGCACACCGACAAGGGCCGCGCCGGTAGCCGCGAGTACGAGAGCGGCGCGGCCGCCAGCGGAGGGGGCCGGCACGGCTACAGCGGCAAAGCCGCGGAGGCGTCGCGGAGCAGCAGCAGCCGCGGAGAGTCGCGGGCGGCCGCCGCCTCCTCGTCCTCCTCCTCCTCCTCGGAGCCCGGCGAGTACAAGACGCTGAAGATCAGCGAGCTGGGCTCGGCGCTGAGCGACGAGGCGGTGGAGGACGGGCTGTTCCACGAGTTCAAGCGGTTCGGCGACGTGAGCGTGAAGATCAGCCGCCTGCCGCCCGGGCCCGGCTCCGGCTCCGACGAGCGCGTGGCCTTCGTGAACTTCCGCCGGCCCGAGGACGCGCGGGCGGCCAAACACGCGCGGGGCCGCCTGGTGCTCTACGACCGCCCGCTGAAGATCGAGGCCGTCTATGTGGGCGGCAGCGGCCGCCGGCGCAGCAGCCGCTCCCCGGCGCTGCTGGACAAGGAGTCCCCGTACGGGGCGGCGGCGGCGGTGGGGGCGGTGGCGGCGGCCGTGCGGCACCCGCCGGCCGGGGCCGCGCAGCGGGCGCTGTCCCCCGCGGGCAGCGGCGGAGCGCTGGGCTACCGGGACTACCGGCTGCAGCAGCTCGCCCTGGGCCGGCTGCCGCCGCCGCCGCCGCCGCCGCTGCCGCGGGAGCTGGAGAGGGAGCGGGACTACGGCGGGTTCTACGAGGCGCGGGTGCGGCCCGCCTACGGGCTGGAGAGGGTGGCCGGCGTGGCGGCGGCCGGAGGGTTCCGCGGAGGAGGAGGAGCGGGAGGAGGAGGCGGCGCCGGAGCGGCCGGCGAGGAGGAGATCAGCCCCGAGGACGACCAGAGAGCCAACCGTACCTTGTTCCTGGGCAACCTGGACATCACCGTCAGCGAGTCGGACCTGAGGCGGGCATTCGACCGTTTTGGGGTCATCACCGAGGTGGACATCAAGAGGCCGGGCCGCGGGCAGACCAGCACCTACGGGTTCTTGAAGTTTGAGAACCTGGACATGGCGCACCGGGCCAAGCTGGCCATGTCGGGGAAGGTGCTGCTGCGCAATCCCATCAAGATCGGGTACGGCAAAGCCACCCCTACCACCCGGCTCTGGGTGGGCGGCCTGGGGCCCTGGGTGCCCTTGGCCGCCCTGGCCCGGGAGTTTGACCGCTTTGGTACCATCCGCACCATCGACTACCGCAAAGGGGATTCCTGGGCCTACATCCAGTACGAGAGCCTGGACGCGGCGCAGGCGGCCTGCACACACATGAGGGGCTTCCCCCTGGGGGGCCCGGACCGCCGGCTCCGCGTGGACTTCGCCGACACCGAGCACCGGTACCAGCAGCCCTACCTGCAGCCCCTGCCCCTGCCGCCCCCGGCTCACTACGAGCTGGTGGCAGAGGCGGCTGCTTTCGGGGCTCACCGGGGAGCCCCCCCCGACCCTCTGCGGGGGGCCCGGGACAGGACGCCACCGTTGCTTTACAGAGACCGCGACAGAGACCTTTACCCGGAGACGGAGTGGGTGCCCCCGCCGCCCCCCGTGCGGGACAGGAGTAACCGGGCGGCTGCCTACGACCCGCTGGAAAGCCTGGAGCGCCGCCGGGACGGGTGGTCCTTGGAGCGGGACCGCGGGGAGAGGGAGCTGGGCAGTAGCAGTCGGGACCAGCCCAGGAAGCGGAGGCTGGCGGAGGACGGGGGGCGGCACTTGGACCGCTCCCCCGACAGCGAGCGCTCCTCGTCCTCCCGCAAGCGCCACTGCCTGGCTACCAGCTCCCCGCCGGACCGCAGCCCCGAGCTCCTGGGGGGCCGGGAGCGCTACAGCAGCGACCCCGAGCGCTCGTCCCGCCTGCTCCTCTTGGAGCGGCCGTCCCCGGTGCGGGAATCGCGCCGGGGCAGCCTGGAGCGGGGGCAGAACGAGAAGCGCGACCGCAAGAACTCGGCGGAGCGCGAGCGGAAGCACCGCGGCGGTGCCGCCGCCGCCGCCCAGGAGGGCAAGAGCCCGGCCAAAAAGGATGAGCGGGCGGCCGAGGGAGGCGGGGGGGGCTCCCGCCTCAAACCCCCTCCCCAAAAACAGCAGCAGGACGGGGCGGCGCAGGCCGGGGCGGCGCCCAAGCTGTGCTTGGCCTGGCAGGGGATGCTCCTGCTGAAGAACAGCAACTTCCCGTCCAACATGCACCTGCTCCAGGGGGACCTCGGCGTCGCCAGCAGCCTCCTCGTGGAGGGGGCCACGGGGGGGAAGGTGGCCCAGCTCAAGATCACCCAGCGGCTCCGGCTGGACCAGCCCAAGTTGGACGAGGTGAACCGGCGCATCAAGGTGGCGGGGCCCAACGGCTACGCCATCCTCCTGGCCGTGCCCGGCGCGGCGGAAAACCGCGCGGCCGCCGGAGCCGCCGAGCCCGCCACCACCTCCACGCAGAGGCCGCTCAGGAATCTGGTGTCCTACCTAAAGCAAAAGCAGGCTGCAGGGGTGATCAGCCTCCCCGTGGGGGGGAACAAAGACAAGGAGAACAGCGGGGTGCTGCACGCCTTCCCGCCCTGCGACTTCTCCCAGCAGTTCCTGGACTCCACAGCCAAGGCGTTGGCCAAATCCGAGGATGACTATCTGGTCATGATCATTGTCCGGGGGGCGTCCTAAGGGGCCCTCGTGTTCTGTTCCCAACCCTGCCTACTCCTCCACCCAGCCCCTCCAGCGTGTGCCAGGTGCTATGGGATACAGCCTTAGCCAGCCCTGTTGTTATTTTAATTAGACCTTTGTTTGTAGGTGACTTTTCCCCCTCCCCGGCCCGATTTTTCTGTTACTACGTTTTTCTATAAAGGTAGAAGCCAGAGAGGTTGGTTTAGGTGTAGTGTGAATAGGATATTTTGAGAATTTCCCTATCAGTGGGGACAGCAGGGAGGCTCGGCCTGCTTTGATTTACAAAAAAGAAAAAATAGAGAAAAAAAAAAAAAAAAAGAAAAACGAGAACTGGGGAGGGGGAGGGAGGGGGAAAAGAAAAAACTCCCGTCTTCTTGATTTTGATTTGTGTCCTTATTTCATTTCATGTTTTTTAAAGCAAGTCCAAGAGCTTGTCCTCTGACAGAGCTCCAGACCCAACTGACCAGGTTTAAAGCACTCGTTGGAATTGGAAAACCACACGTTTAGTGGCAGACTTGGCGTCAGCTCCTTTCCTGAGCCCTTGAAATTCCGTGTGGGCCTCAGGGATCCCTTCCCTCAGGAGCTGGAATGGTTTCCCCCTTCGGGTCGAGTGGCTCAAGGTCGATGTTTTCCAGGTGGGCAGCTCCTGCAGAACACAATTCCTTTTGGGAGAGGAATTCTTTTCTCATCCAGGCCCCCCTTCCTGCCAGGTGCATGCACTGAAACCGGGCTTTTTCCCAGGTTATCCCCCCATTTCCCGGTGTATCCCAGCCGTGCACTTTGGGTGTGGAGCGGTGAGGAGCTTTCGGTGACGAGCTGGGAGCTTTTGTTACAAACCAGGAACGTTGTGCCCGCTCTGGGGTGCAGGAAACGAGGAGCTGCTTGAAGGAGAACTTCTGAGTTCTGTTGTTGGTTTTTGGTTTTTACTGCCTTTTTTTTTTTTTTCTTTTTTTTTGGTGTGTGTGTTTTCCAAGAATTGCAGGTACAGTGGGGTCTGGTTCCACAGTGCAAACTCTGAGCAAGTAAGTGCTTCTCTCCAGAGATGCTTTTAATTCTGGGATAATTTAATTACATAAAAGTTCTCATTAACGTTTTACCTCTTTGTTAATAGCAAGGAACTGCTGTCTGCTAGGGACTCTTCAGGTACAGTGCAGTGGGCATTACATGAGGTTTATCATTTTCTGGGCACCTGGAGAAAAGTGGTTTTAGCATCTTGGAGAAGTATTAAAAACACTCCGAGGTGCCAAGGTTTGAGCTCTTGTTCCTGTGATTCTAGGATGAAACAGTTCTGCTTTTTCTTTTTTTTTTTTCCTTTTCAAAGAACATGGTTAATTTTCTCTTATTTTTCCCCAACAATTGGGCACTTTTCGTCACCTGTCTCAGCCACCTTGGTAATCCAGGCATTTAGGAGGGAAGAAGGGATTTAAATCCCTGAGGGGGATCTAAATCCCCAGTGCTCTGTTTAACAACCAAAAGGATGTTGCAGCAACTTCTAAGCTGGAGTGTAAATCTGACTGGTATCTCTTTACAGGCCCCAAAAATTGTGATCTTGCACTTAAACCCAGAATGTAACCTTGCACTTAGCCACGTTTTCAGGGATTTGGGCCACGGAAAAGCAACGCTGCTCCAATAGATTCCTTGGGTGATGGATGCAGGGGGGGGTTGATTTGTGGTACAACGTGATCAAATTCAAAATGGGGAATAAGTTGTGAATAGGAGATGAAGGAGGAAATGTCTTGAATGTATTGTGTGGGTGTAACTGAACTTGCTTGAGTTTCTGCCACAAAAATAGGGAAATTTTTGTTACTGAACCACTTTGGTTGATTATCTGCCTGGAATGAGTGGACACAGTATCCCAAGAACTAAGAATTCCAATGTGGCAGGGGAGTTTTGGTTTTTAAAGCTCCTTTTCTTTCTTAAATGAGAAGCTAAAAGCCTCATTTAATGCTCTTAAATTCGAGGGGTAAAACTCAGGAGTTCTGGGTTGCCCTTCGGGGTGAATGTAAGAGATGGCAGAATTCAGCTGTTCAGCTTCCTATTAACAACGAGAATTTGGGGGAAATGACACCTTAAATGCAAATCACTGTGTTGTGGGAATTCCAGAGTGTTTACCACTTAATGCAAAGAATGTTTTGGTTGGAGCAGGTGTCTGTCCTGTGTCAGCAGGGGATCAACTCTGTTCAAGTGCTGCTCGTGTTCAGAGGGGGTTTTCCTCGTTGCATCCGACAGGAATCACTTACAAAGGGTTTTCCAGGAAAGAAATTTGAACCTCTGGGAATTCAAATCTGCCCCAAACGAGGGAGGAAAAAAAAAAAAAAAAGAAAAAAGCACTAAATGTTTGTGTTGGACACTGGAAGTTGCTGAGAGCAGCGTTTGTTCCACTGAGGCACAGCAGGCACCTGCTTAAAAAGCCATAAAACTTGGGGTCAGCGTGGCTGGTCAAGGCAAACTCAGTGTGGGAAGAGCATCCTGGGTGCACTTCCAGTTTTTCCTTGGGAAAATCCTGGTGGTTTTAACTACCACTGGTTGCAATGAGCCAAATTGTGCTACGCTGGGGGGTGGAAAAGGAGCGGCCGAGGCTGTGTTTGACTCCAGCTTTTCCGGCTCCTTATTTCCTGGAGTATCTCCCTTTAAATCTGGTTTATTTGTGGTGGCTGCTCTGTTTTGTAAGCAAAGATTTTAACACCCCTGGAGGGTTCTTGTGGCAAAACAGTGACTGGCAGCTGCTTTGCCAGGATCCCGGTGCTGCCATCCCGGATGGGCTGTGCTTTCCCCCTTGGTCCGAGGGATTCCTCCACTGGAGTAACTGCCCGCTGAAGTTGTCTTGGCCAGGGCTGAGCATTCAGAAGCCCGTGGGTGTGATACCACTGTGTGCAGAGCAAAGCAGATGTAGCAGTTGTTGGCTCTCTCCTTGTGTCTGGGTTTCCCTCCACGTCCGTGTGCAGCTGATGTTCCGTTATTTCATTAGCGTCTCGAATTAGCCTGGAAAAAGGACGTCCCTTTTTCCTGAATCATTTCACCCTTGTGCTTGAACGCTTTGGGGGAAAGAACCTCAAGTGACTCATAGTTTTTGTTTGAGATTTCAGTTCGCTGGGGTTTGGTTTTTTTTTTGTTGTTTTTTTTTTTTCCTTCTTTTAATTGGAAACATGACGCAACTTCCTTGGCCTCCATCCAGCCGCTTTGTTTGCTCCCGTCGAGCTGCTGTGGTGGGAACACCGAGGTTACTCTCAACCCAGAGGTTTTAGGGTCAGAAATACCAGCGCATCTTTGGCAGCGCTGCAGAGAGAAGGGCCAGGCAAGACAAAAATCTTCCCTTCTCTCTCTCTCTCTCTCTCTCTCTCTCTCGTTTTCCCACGAGGGTGTTAAGAGGTGGAATATTTCGGTGAAACTTTTCTCAGCGGAGAACGGGTTGGAATTTCTTCCACGGGTTTGGGAGAGCCTCTGGTTGATGGTAACCGAGGTGAAAGGCCTCGAGTGTTAATGGGGGAGGAGGAGGAGGAGGAGGGGGAGCGAATCAAAATTGTGAAGACAGGTTCAAAAACTCTTGAGGACTCAGGGATAAAACGGCTTGGAAAACGGTGATTCCTGGCTCTTGAAGTGAAACAGTGTTGAGGGACTCCTGGGGAGTCTGTGTGTGTGCCCAGAGGGGAAGAAATGATGCCATGTGTCTCTAGAGCTTTTGGGGTTCTTTCCCCTTCGTCCCCCGCTGCGTAGCATCGAAGGACAGATGTTCCAATGATTCATAGACTGGATGATGAGGTGATTTTTGTATCAGGCGTAAAAAAAAAAAAAAACCAACGGCCCGGCCGGTTCAGAGAGGGGTTCGTGGAATGTTCGACTTCCCGCGGTTCCGATTGTGTGCGAGCGCTGGCTGAGAAATATGACTTGAACGGCAACAGTTTTCAGTTCCACTGGGTGTGTCTTTGATCTGACCTTTTTCCTTTACGGCTTTTGGCGCAGCCAAGCGAGGGGCAGAAGAGCTGTGTTAGCAACACTACATTTCATGGGTTTGGTGATGAAAGTTGCCTTTCGGGAGATGTAACCCCCCCGGGGAGGAAAGTCAACCCAATTTTAGCCACAATTTTGGGTTGGTTTTCCTCGTGGTTAATGGTTTCAGACGCGTCCCATCAGCTGTTAGTGCGAGTTGGGTAAATGCTCAGTACTGTAAGCCTTAGGTTAACCTTGGTCCAAAACGAAGCCCTGCGCTGCTTGTTTTGCATCTCCCCCCCCCGGGAAGAGACGACTTCGTTCTTGAGGTTTTGTGCCCCCGTGGGTTTTGAATTGGTGCTTTTTTTTTTTTTTTTTGAAACCCAAGTAGAATATCCTTCAGAAAGGCCTCGTAGCTCTTTGTGTTCATCTGTACGATGTAGGGAGGGGGAGAGGGGGAAAAAAAACCCAACCAAACAAACCCCCCCCAAATCTGGTGTAAACATTTGTATTGGAATAACGTTTTCTTTCCTCCTCGCAAAGCAAATCTGGTGGACTGCAGAAGACATGGGATACCAAGCTCTAAAATGGACCTTTGGGAAGAGAAGCTGTGGCTTATGTGGAATTTCCATGGGCCTCCTGATGGAAGAAAGCTTATCTGTTTAGTATTTGTGCATTTTACTAAAAAAAAAAAAAAAAAAAAAAAAAAAAAAAAAAAAAAAAAAAAAAAAAAAAAAAAAAAAGTTGTGTATCTGCTATTGTGATGCCAATGCCCGTGTTTTAAGTGGAAAAAAAAAAAAAATGACCTCTTTGCTTTGTGCTGTGTACACAAGATTGCTGGAAAAAAAAAAAAAAAAAGTAAAGGAAATACCCTTTTTATGGCTCACACAGCTTTGAAAGTAGCTGTCACTCGAAAACATGCGCTCCACAGTTGAGCTGATATTTTGTTTCATTCTAAATAAATTGTTTCTTTTGAGGAAAAAAAAAAACACAAACAAGAAATGATGGTTTTTCTGGCCTGGGAGTTGAATTGACGACAAAAACGCGTCGGCAGCGGAGAGGGGTCCCCGCTGCTGCTGCTGCTGCTGCTGCTGCTGCTGCCGCCCTGTGTCTGAGCTGATAGTTTTGCGGGGCTTGTGAGCAAAAAACAGAGGAGAGAGAGAGAGAGAGATTGATTAAACCGACACAACCTTTTCGCGTTGACCGACCTGTTGTGCCAAAGCGGAGGAATCCTGGTCCACACTGCCTTGCTGTGACCCCCCCTTCTCCTCCCCACACCCCGCCACCACCACCACCACCACCTCGGTTTGCGGTGAAACAAAAAAAAAAAAAAAAAAAAAAAAACCAAAACCAAGGGGGGTC